TGACTTTGTTGACGATCAAGGCTGAGCCTAGCCTTGAGTGCTGTCCCCTAGCTGGGGTAGGTCCAGTCTGAGGTGAGCTCGCTTTTACTAGGGCTCTGATAGGTATGAGAGCGATTTCTATGGCTGCAGCTTGTTGGCTCAGTCTGAGACTAGTCGATACCTAAACCTCTCAGATAATCCTTGACATCTGAGTTATAAGTCAAAGTGAAGCAAGTTGAGCCGTGCTTGTCCTTCTCCCTCAGCAGCTCCTCCCCGCATGTCTCTGCAACATACCGCACTACCTCCAAGTGCCCTCCCTCACTCGCCAAGTGTGCACATGTCCTGCCGAACTTGGTCTTCTCCCTCAGCACCTCCTCCCCGCATGTCTCTGCAACATACCGCACTACCTCCAAGTGCCCTCCCTCACTCGCCAAGTGCGCGCATGTCTTGCCGTCATTGGTCTTCTCCCTCAGCACCTCCTCCCCGCATGTCTCTACAGCATACAGCACTACCTCCAAGTGCCCTCCCTCACTCGCCAAGCGCGCGCATGTCATACCGTCCTCGGTCTTCTCCCTCAGCAGCTCCTTCCCGCATGTCTCCCTAACATACCGCACTACCTCTATGTGCCCTTTCTCAATCGCCAAGTGCGCGCATGTCCTGCCGGAATTGGTCTTCTCCCTCAGCACCTCCTCCCCGCATGTCTCTACAGCATACCGCACTACCTCCAAGTGCCCAAAAGCACTCGCCCAGTGCGCGCATGAGTACCTGACAACGTCCTTCTCCCTCAGCAGCTCCTCCCCGCATGTCTCTGCAACATACCGCACTACCTCCAAGTGCCCTCTCTCACTCGCCAAGTGCGCGCATGTCCTGCCGTCCTCGGTCTTCTCCCTCAGCAGCTCCTTCCCGCATGTCTCTGCAACATACCGCACTACCTCCAAGTCCCCTCCCTCACTCGCCCAGTGCACGCATGTCTTGCCGTTATTGTCCTCTTCCTCTGAGGTGAGCAGTCTGAGGTGAGCTCGCTTTTACTAGGGCTCTGATAGGTATGAGAGCGATTTCTATGGCTGCAGCTTGTTGGCTCAGTCTGAGACTAGTCGATACCTAAACCTCTAAGATAATCCTTGACATCTGAGTTATCAGCCAAAGTGAAGCAAGTCCTGCCGTTATCGTCCTTCTCCCTCAGCACCTCTTCCCCGCATGTCTCTACAACATACCGCACTACCTCCAAGTTCCATCCCTGACTCGCCGCATGCGCGCATGTCCCGCCGTCATTGTCCTTCTCCCTCAGCACCTCCTCCCCGCATGTCCTCACGACGTTCTGCAGCACCTCCAACTGCCCTCCGTAACTCGCCAAGTGCGCGCATGTCATGCCGTCATTGGTCTTCTCCCTCAGCACCTCCTCCCCGCATGTCTTCTCAGAATACCGCACTACCTCCAAGTACCCTCTCTGACTCGCCAAGTGCGCGCATGTGTAGCCGTTATTGGTCTTGTCCCTCAGCTCCACCCCGCATGTCTCTACAACATACCGCACTACCTCTATGTGCCCTCCTGTACTCGCCAAGTGCGCGCATGTGTAGCCGTCATAGGTCTTCTCCCTCAGCACTTCCTTCCCGCATCTCTCCCCAACATACCGCACTACCCCCAAGTCCCCTCTCTCGCTCGCAAATTGCGCGCATGTCCAGCCGTCATTGTCCTTCTCCCTCAGCACCTCCTCCCCGCATGTCTCTACAGCATACCGCACTACCTCCAACCGCCCTCCCTGACTCGCCGCATGCGCGCTTGTCCTGCCGTCATTGGTCTTCTCCCTCAGCACCTCCTCCCCGCATGTCTCTACAAGATACCTCACTACCTCTATGTGCCCTCCTACACTTGCCAAGTGCGAGCATGTCTGGCCGTTATTGTCCTTCTCCCTCAGCACTTCCTTCCCGCATGTCTCCCCAACATACCGCAGCATCTCCATGTGCCCTCCCATGCTCGCCAAGTGCGCGCATGTCCAGCCGTCATTGGTCTTCTCCCTCAGCGCCTCCTTCCCGCATGTCTCTACAGCATACCGCGCCACCTCCAAGTGCCCTCCTGCACTCGCCCAGTGCGCACATGTGTAGCCGTCATTGTCCTTCTCCCTCAGCACCTCCTCCCCGCATGTCCTCACGACGTTCTGCACTACCTCCAAGTGCCCTCTCTCACTCGCCAAGTGCGCGCATGTCCTGCCGTGCTTGTCCTTCTCCCTCAGCACCTCCTCCCCGCATGTCCTCACGACGTTCTGCAGCACCTTCAAGTGCCCTTCGTAACTCGCATAGTGCGCGCATTCCTTCCCATGCTTGTCCTTCTCCATCATCAAGGTCCTCAGAGTCTCTTTCCCGCATTGTTCCTCTACCGTCTTCAGCACCTCCACATGCCCATACTCTGCCGCCCAGTGCACCATCGTCTTCCCTTCATCGTCCTTCCCTCCTACCTCTGCTCCTGCCTCTATCAGCTCCCTCACGCTCCCCGCCCTCCCCAGCATCCCCGCTACATGCAGCCCTGTCCTCCCGTCCTCCATCCGCTCGTCCAAGTTGTATCCGCCCGCCTTCAGCAGCCCGATCAGCTCCCCCTGTCCTCGTACCACCGCCGTCACTGTCGGCGGCTCCCCGTGCTGGCCCGACCTTGACATCGACAAGCCGTACATCCCGCACAGCCTCTTGCTCTGCTCTCTTCTGCCGTCATCGCCTGCTGGAGTCCGCGAGCTGATCTCGTACATCAGACCCGCCATCGTCTTCCAGTACACTGACTGCATCGGCTCGCCTGCAATGGCTCGACATTTTTCGTCTCCCTGAGTGTCTTCGATCCAGTGCCTGAGCTTGTTGATCGCCATGTCCTTCACTCGGTTCGACAGCTCGATCGCCTCCTTGTATCTTGACTCGTCGTTATACCAGCCCGACTGCCTCGCCCTGCTCGCCTCCACCAGCCCCCAGCACTCCTCCACGATCGACTTCAACAGATCCTGATGTGTCTTTTGAAAGGAGTCGAGAATTGCTGTCCTAAGCCGCTCCTGGATCCTCCCCTCCCACCCCCTCACGTCTCGCTCTACCTCCCTCGCCAGGTTCTCCATCAGCCCTACGTACAGCTGCTTCCTCTTCCCCACAAAGTCCTCGATCGTCAAGCTCATCGTGTTCGCGTTGATCTTCAGCTCCAGCACCTTCACCCGCCTCCCCTCTACCTCCCTGTACCGCGGCGTCTTCACCACCTCCAGGTACGACAGCGGCGGATACAGCATCTCCCCCTCCCCCGGATACTGAGACACAAACGTCAAGCTCGCCCCCCGGTCGATCGCCCCGCAGCTGATCTCGAACACAATCGACTCTCCCTCCTCCCCGGCGTACTGCATCGCCGTCCTGACGTCCGTCGTCGTGCTCAGCAGCCCGTACTCGACTCCTCCGGACACCCCGAGCTCGTCCTCGTTGAGGAAGCTCTCCGGCAGCCTCATCCCCTTCAGCCCCCTCCACACCCGCAGCCCCTCCGGCAGAGGCGTGTGACGAGACAGCTTGACGATGCCGCTGACGATGCAGTGGATGGTCGTCGTGTACTTGTTGGGGACCTTGTTGGAGTCTCGGAGGAGCTCGTTGGGAGCTCGAAGAACAGAGTTGTACTTGAAGTACATCGGCCCTGTCATAGCAAGCCTCTTGTCAGCCGTCTCACGCTCTCTTGCTTCTCTCTCTTCCCCCATCCTCCTTCTCCCTCTCTCGCTCTCTCTCTCTCTTACCTGTGTAGAGCTGCAGCGCGATCAGCTCCGCCTCCTGTAGCCCCGCCTTGATCGCCGTGTCCAGCGCCTTCAGCTCCTCCATCCCTCGGATCACCCGCGTCCCGTCCGACAGCCTCCGCCTCCTCTCCGGGTCTGTCACGTTGAGCCACTCCTCCTTGGCTGTCGTCGTGATGTTGTAGTTGCTCGTCGTGAACGCTTCCTCCGCGTCCTTGCCCTTGCAGTGCTCCTCCTCTATCGCCTTCATCAGCTCCGTCTGAGGTAGCCCGATCCGCTCCATCAGCCCCCCGTAGTACTCCTCGATCTTCCCGTACACGGCCTCGCGTACCTCCGCAAACTTGCTGTTGTGCGACGTCGGACCGTCTCCTCCCGCCCGCCCTCCTGCCTCCGCCGGCCTCCTCAGCGCCTCCTCGAGCCTCCTCCCTATCGCCGTCTGCCATAGAGCCGATAGAGCGCTCTCCGTCATCCCCTGTAGCCCCGCAAGAGGACTCGCCGCGCTCCCGCCGGGGATGCACTCCGCCATGACTCGGAGGATGTTGAGGTCGCCGAGGCTGCTGGCCTTGCGCTCGAGCTCCCACTCTCTTGCGACTCTGACCTCGTAGTCGTCGTACGAGAGCTTGTCAGGGCTGAGGGCTGACGCGTCGACGCCGAGAGCCATGCGGAGGTTGTTGAGAATCGTTTTGTAATCCTTTGAGTCTCGAGGGGTCTGAAAGAGCTTCTTGAGGTCAGAGCTGATGTCGTCGGGGATAGTCCAGCTGGTCGTTTGCTGGGCACTAGCTGGTGGATCAGCCGTGGGATGGCTGATTTGAGATTTGATCTCGATGTCTGTCTTGTTTGACGGCTGAGTCGTAGGGCTGGAGATGCTTGACGGGACTCCTTGAGGAGCTGGGGGATCTTTGACAGTCTGCTTTCTCAGCTCGGCCTCGAGCTCTGAGATCCTTCTTGTCGCTTCTTCCAACCTCTGCTTGAGTAGCGAGTCATCATGACCCTCCTCGGGTTTCACTTTGGACGAGAAGCAGGGGAAGCAACTCATGTCCCTTTCTCAGCCCAGGGAGAAACCTGCTACAGGAGCTTACATCAGCCGGCTTCAGATATCCTCTGTCCTCCACCACTCTCTCCCTCCCTCGTTTTACGTCTCTCTGTCTTGGATCTTCCTCTGTTTGTGGTTCGGTTTACACCACAACGATCGGATTACAGAGCAGCTCAGCTTGTGTTGTACACCTGAGGCTTTCTGTCTATACACTCTGATCCTACTGCCTGCAAATGCAACTCCAAGAGCGTATCAGTCGCCTGCTTTTCAAGAGCTTATCAAGTATTCACCTCAACAAATGCCGTCTATTCTTGATAATAAGACCTATCACTCAATCTGACTTCCCCTCTCTTGGCTCACTTATCCATGCATGTCTTATTCTCTCTCGAAGCTCTGCCCTGCTTCCGACTCTGCCTCCTTCTCCCACGCCGTCTCCTTTCTCCCTTCCAGTGACTGACCGTAGAGAGAGAGAAAAAAGACAGCGAGGGAAGAAAAGACAAGGAGAAAGAAAGAAATAAGGAGATCAAGACAGAAAGCTTCTCTATCCTTCCTTGACACAGCAAGAGAGGGATCAAGAGCGCCGAAAACACATCAATCAAGCAGACAGAGAAGGTTTCCTCTCTCCTCTTGGTATTCGTCATATTTCATCCCTTCCTTCAGCCGTTTCTTTGCCCTCCTCTCTTCTCCTCTCTTCTGTCTGTTGTCACGTCTCCTTCTCTCTGCAGCAGCTACAAGACATCTCTCACACTCTAGCGACAAGACAAGCTTGTCGTCACCCTCCCTCAAGCTCCTTCCATCCTCTCTCCATCTCTCCTCCCGCTCTCCCCCTTCATCCTCCTGCCATATTTCCCGCCCGACCACCCCCTCTACATGGAGCCCTACCCTAGTCGTATATCACCCTCATATTCACATGGTTTCAGCCTATCAGGTACGGGTGAGCAACACCAGCCTACCCTACCTGTTGATGTATTTTGCACTGCCCTACCCCACCCCCAGAAGCCCCAGGTATCCGCTAGTCAGCGTAAGGGGTGGACGCTAATTGGAGCAACGGATCCGAGGCGGACTGCTGCCGATGAAAACCGTTGAGAGGATTGACTAACTTAGTCATCTACTGCGACTCGATCTCAGTGACCGGAGCCTCGGAGGCTGAAGATCGGGCCGTAAGACAACGTGACGGTACAGTGACTGCGGCTGAGCGGGCCCTGAGCCCAGGATGGGACGAATGAAACCAAATCGATCGAGTTTGTGAGAGCAGATATGATAGTACCATCATCGACCAGCTGCCCGGCGCGGAACAAGACAGTTTTCCCACTCAGGGCTGAGTTGAATGCACACTAAACAGGGCTTAAGGAGCACATGAGAGATAGACTGTATCAGGCTTGCATGTCGAGCTACTGTCTCCTTCAAACGATTTGATTCGGTTCAAACAGGCAAGACAATACAGGCTCTCTCTCTCATCCTGTCCAACGGTCCCGATCGCGCTCTCCGAGCTGACAAGGCTGGAAGTGGGTGCGAGCGAGCAAAGACGCTGATTGTCTGTCCGGTATGTGTCTTGACCAGCTGGGAATCGCAGATCGAGAGGCGCATTGAGGATGGCAAGATGACCACGACGATACTCCACTCGAAATACCCGCAAAGAAGTTGCAACGTGTCCTCACGCAGTCTGTCTGATTACGATGTTGTTGTCACAAGCTATGAGACCTTGAGGAATCTCTATCAAAGATGGCTCTTGCATCGCAGTGCAACACGTGTCAAGAAGGACGGTGAGTTTGCATGTGGATCCTATCATCTTTCATCACTCTTGTGTTGTACAGGACGACGATCATCGAAACATCATCTTTCATCACTCTTGTGTTGTACAGGACGACGATCATCGAAACAAGACATCATCGGAGACGAGAGCATCGACATCTTCGACACGAGATGGTGGCGAGTGATCCTCGATGAAGCGCGTTGGATCAAGAACAGAAGAACGACAAGTCATCGAGCTTGTCGGCAACTGACGGCCATCAACCGCTGGTGTTTGGCAGCAACGCCATTGCAGAATGATGTGGACGATATCCAGCCTCTCTTGCAGTTCCTTAGAGTAGAACCACTCGACAAGTATTCTACCTGGCTGACATATGTCAAGAAGTGAAACCTCTCTCTTCCTCCTCCCTCCTCTCTCCTCCTGCTCCTGCTTCTCCTGCTCCTCCCTTTTCCTCCCTCCTGCTCCTGCTCCTGCTCCTGCTCCTGCTCCTGCTCCTTCTCCTGCACCTTCTCCTCTTCCTCCTCCCCTTCCTCTCTCTCCCTCTCTCTCCTCCTGCTGGACTCCCTCGATGCCGGGGCTGTGCATGCGCTACTGTGAGCCGCTGGAAGGAGCAGCGGCGGCTGAAGAAGAACAAGAGGAGGTAGAGGTCGAGGTTGAGAGAGCAGCTGAGCGTGAGGAGTAGTAGGCGTGAGGAGCAGTAGGCTGGTAGAGGCTGGCAGACTCAGTCCTCGCTCCCTCAGCCTCTCTTGCTCGGCTTGTCTCCTGATAGATAAGGACGAGCAGATCAGAAATCAAGAGATGAATGTACGAGTGATCCAACGTGAAAGACTACAATCCGGAAGAAGAGTAAACAACTGCATTCACCAGGATGTTGATAGAGGAGCTACTTTGGGTCATGTAGTGAATGTCATACTGTCGCATGATCCACCCTTGTCAGAGCACGCTCGTCGTGCAATGATTTCCTTTCCTACACTGATCCCTTTCCTTCCTACCTGCTTCTTGCTCCCTCCTTCTCTCTACTTGCTTCCTCTCTCTCCCTCGTTCTCTCGTCTCCTTCCCTCTTTAGTCTCCCACACTTGTACTTCTGCCATTCTCTCTCAAACTTCTCTCTCTCCCTCCCTCCCTCCTTCTCTCTTCTCCTTCTCTTCGTTGACTAGCTCTCATCCCGACCATGTTTGTATCACCCCGGATCTCCAGCTCCTCTTTCACCTTATGAGCCTCCACTCCTCCCTCCCCACCCCTCTGATTGTCCGTACCCACCCCTCTCTTCCCCTCGCGTCTGGATAACTTCTCCGCTACACCACCCCCTGCTCTGACTCTTTCTGATGACCCCTACCCTCCCCGTCTCATCTCTGTATTCCTGCCACATCACCCACCCCTCTCTTTCCCCTCGCGTCTGGTCAACCTCCTTCCCCGGCCATCTCCTCGCGTCTGATGAGCTGGAGGGAGAGAGGAGGGGAGGGAGGAGGGAACGGGACAGGAGAGGAGGGAATGTAACTGCCAAACTTGCTCAAGCTTCTCCCACATGATACAAGTCTCCTCCTCCCCTCCCTCCGTCATGCTCTCAAGCGCTTCGCATGCTGACCACTGCAAGTGCATCTTCAGAGGTACGAGAGCGATTTCAATCCCTTCAGTCGTCAGCTCAGTCTGAGAAGGACCAGTCTGAGGTGAGCTCGCTTTTACTAGGGCTCTGATAGGTATGAGATCGACTTGTATGGCTGCAGCTTGTTGGCTCAGTCTGAGACTAGTCGATACCTAAACCTCTAAGATAATCCTTGACATCTGACTTAAAAGCCAAAGTAAAACAAGTCGCGCCGTTGTTGTCCTTCTCCCTCAGCAGCTCCTCCCCGCATGTCTCTACAACATACCGCAGCACCTCCATGTGCCCAGCGTCACTCGCCCAGTGCGCGCATGTCATGCCGTCATTGGCCTTCTCCCTCAGCACCTCCTCCCCGCATGTCTCTACAGCATACCGCACTACCTCCAAGTGACCTCCCATACACGCCATGTGTGCGCATGTCCAGCCGCCCTTGTCCTTCTCCCTCAGCAGCTCCTCCCCGCATGTCTCCCCAACATACCGCACCACCTCCAAGTGCCCTCTCTCACTCGCATAGTGCGCGCATGTCCAGCCGCCCTTGTCCTTCTCCCTGATAAGCCCTTCCCCGCATGTCCCTACAGCATACCGCACTACCTCCATGTGCCCTCCCTCACTTGCCACATGCGCGCATGTCCTGCCGTCCTTGGCCTTCTCCCTCAGCACCTCCTCCCCGCATGTCTCTACAACATACCGCAGCACCTCCATGTGCCCTCCCTCACTCGCATAGTGCGCGCATGTCAAGCCGTCATTGTCCTTCTCCCTCAGCACCTCCTCCCCGCATGTCTCTATAGCATACCGCACTACCTCCATGTGCCCTCCCTGACTCGCATAGTGCGCGCATGTCCTGCCGTCATTAGCCTTCTTCCTCAGCACCTCCTCCCCAACATACCGCAGCACCTCCAAGTGCCCTCCCGCACTCGCCAAGTGCGCGCATGTCTTGCCGTCATTGTCCTTCTCCATCATCATGGTCCTCAGAGTCTCTTTCCCGCATTGTTCCTCTACCGTCTTCAGCACCTCCATGTGCCCATACTCCCCCGCCCAGTGCACTATCGTCTTCCCTGCCTTGTCCTTCGCTCCTACCTCTGCTCCTGCCTCCATCAGCTCCCTCACGCTCCCCGCCCTCCCCAGCATCCCCGCTACATGCAGCCCTGTCCTCCCGTCCTCCGTCCGCTCGTCCATGTCGTATCCGGCCGCCTTCAGCAGCCCGATCAGCTCCCCCTGTCCTCGTACCACCGCCGTCACTGTCGGCGGCTCCCCGTGCTGGCCCGACCTTGACATCGACAAGCCGTACATCCCGCACAGCCTCTTGCTCTGCTCTCGTCTGCCGTCATCGCCTGCTGCAGTCCGCGAGCTGATCTCGTACATCAGACCCGCCATCGTCTTCCAGTACACTGACTGCATCGGCTCGCCCGCAAGGGCTACACATTTTTCATCTCCCAGAGTGTCTTCGATCCAGTGCCTGAGCTTGTTGATCGCCATGTCCTTGACTCGGTTCGACAGCTCGATCGCCTCCTTGTAGTTTGACTCGTCGTTGTACCAGCCCGACTCCCTCGCCCTGCTCGCCTCCACCAGCCCCCAGCACTCCTCCATGATCGATTGTACAAGACGGCGATGGTACGATAAAAAGGAGTCGAAGCGAGCTGTCCTGAGCCGCTCCTGGATCCTCCCCTCCCACCCCCTCACGTCTCGCTCTACCTCCCTCGCCAGGTTCTCCATCAGCCCTACGTACAGCTGCTTCCTCTTCCCCACAAAGTCCTCGATCGTCAAGCTCATCGTGTTCGCGTTGATCTTCAGCTCCAGCACCTTCACCCGCCTCCCCTCTACCTCCCTGTACCGCGGCGTCTTCACCACCTCCAGGTACGACAGCGGCGGATACAACATCTCCCCCTCCCCCGGATACTGAGACACAAACGTCAAGCTCGCCCCCCGGTCGATCGCCCCGCAGCTGATCTCGAACACGATCGACTCTCCCTCCTCCCCGGCGTACTGCATCGCCGTCCTGACGTCTGTCGTCGTGCTCAGCAGCCCGTACTCGACTCCTCCGGACACCCCGAGCTTGTCCTCGTTGAGGAATCTCTCCGGCAGCCTCATCCCCTTCAGCCCCCTCCACACCCGCAGCCCCTCCGGCAGAGGCGTGTGACGAGACAGCTTGACGATGCCGCTGACGATGCAGTGGATGGTTGTCGTGTACTTGTTGGGGACCTTGTTGGAGTCTCGAAGGAGCTCGTTGGGAGCTCGAAGAACAGAGTTGTACTTGAAGTACATCGGCCCTGTCATAGCAAGCCTCTTGTCAGCCTTCTCACGCTCTCTTGCTCTTCTCTCCTCCCCCACGCTCCTTCTCCCTCTCTTGCTATCTCTCTCTCGTACCTGTGTAGAGCTGCAGCGCGATCAGCTCCGCCTCCTGTAGCCCCGCCTTGATTGCCGTGTCCAGCCCCTTCAGCTCCTCCATTCCTCGGATCACCCGCGTCCCGTCCGACAGCCTCCGCCTCCTCTCCGGGTCTGTGACGTTGAGCCACTCCTCCTTGGCTGTCGTCGTGATGTTGTAGTTGCTCGTCGTGAACCCTTCCTCCGCGTCCTTGCCCTTGCAGTGCTCCTCCTCTATCGCCTTCATCAGCTCCGTCTGAGGTAGCCCGATCCGCTCCATCAGCCCCCCGTAGTACTCCTCGATCTTCCCGTACACGGCCTCGCGTACCTCCGCAAACTTGCTGTTGTGCGACGTCGCACCGTCTCCTCCCGCCCGCCCTCCTGCCTCCGCCGGCCTCCTCAGCGCCTCCTCGAGCCTCCTCCCTATCGCCGTCTGCCATAGAGCCGATAGAGCGCTCTCCGTCATCCCCTGTAGCCCCGCAAGAGGACTCGCCGCGCTCCCGCCGGGGATGCACTCCGCCATGACTCGGAGGATGTTGAGGTCGCCGAGGCTGCTGGCCTTGCGCTCGAGCTCCCACTCTCTTGCGACTCTGACCTCGTAGTCGTCGTACGAGAGCTTGTCAGGGCTGAGGGCCGACGCGTCGACGCCGAGAGCCATGCGGAGGTTGTTGAGAAACGGTTTGTATTCCTTTGAGTCTCGAGGGGTCTGAAAGAGCTTCTTGAGGTCAGAGCTGATGTCGTCGGGGATAGTCCAGCTGGTCGTCTGCTGGGCACTAGCTGGTGGATCAGCCGTGGGATGGCTGATTTGAGCTTTGATCTCGATGTCTGACTTGTTTGACGGCTGAGTCGTAGGGCTGGAGATGCTTGACGGGATGGTCTCTACGCCTCCTTGAGGAGCTGGGGCATCTTTGACAGTCTGCTTTCTCAGCTCGGCCTCCAGCTCTGAGATCCTTCTTGTCGCTTCTTCCAACCTCTGCTTGAGTAGCGAGTCATCACGACCCTCCTCGGGCTTCACTTTGGACGAGAAGCAGGGGAAGCAACTCATGTCCCTTTCTCAGCCCAGGGAGAAACCTGCGTCAGGAGCTTGCATCAGCCGGCTTCAGATATCCTCTGTCCTCCACCACTCTCTCCTTCCCTCGTCTTATGTCTCTCTATCTTGGATCTTCCTCTGTTTGTGGTTCGGTTTACAGCTCAACGATCGGATTACAGAGCAGCTCAGCTTTGTGTTGTACACCTGAGGCTTTCTGTCTATACACTCTGATCCTACTGCCTGCAACTGCAACACCAAGAGCGTATCAGTCGCCTGCTCTTTCAGAGCTTATCAAGTATTCACCTCAACAAATGCCGTCTATTCTTGATGATAAGACCCATGACTCATTCTGACTTCCCCTCTCTTGCTCACTTATCCATGCATGCCTTATTCTCTTTCGAAGTTCTGCCCTGCTTCCGACTCTGCCTCCTTCTCCCCCGCCGTCTCCTTTCTCCCTTTCAATGACTGTTCGTAGAGAGAGAGGAAAAACGACAGCGAGGGAAGAAAAGACAAGGAGAAAGAAAGAAATAAGACGATCAAGAGAGAAAGCTTCACTATCCTTTCTTGACAAAGAAAGAGAGGGACCAAGACCGCCGAAAAAAATTATCAAGCACAGTGAAGGTTTCCTCTCTCCTTGGTATTCGTCATATTTCATCCCTTCCTTCAGCCGTTTCTTTTCCCTCCTCTCTTCTCCTTTCTTCTGTCTGTTGTCACGTCTCCTTCTCTCTGCAGCAGCTACAAGACATCTCTCACACTAGCGACATGACAAGCTTGTCGTCATCCTCCCTCAAGCTCCTTCCATCCTCTCTCCCTCTCTCCTCCCGCTCTCCCCCTTCATCCTCCTGCCATGTTTCCCGCCCAACCACCCCTCTACATGGAGCCCTACCCTAGTCGCATACCACCCTGTATAATCCCATGGTTTTAGCCTATCAGGTACGGGTGAGCGACACCATCCTACCCTACCTGTTGATGTATTTTGCACTGCCCTACCCCACCCCCAGAAGCCCCAGGTTTCCGCTAGTCATCGTAAGGGGTGGACGCGCTAATTGGAGCAACGGATCCGAGGCGGACTGCTGCTAGGCTGATCGGACCGTACGGTAAAAGACATCGTGACTCAGTGACGGTCACCGGGCCCGGGGTACAGTGACTGCGGCTGACTGTGCGGGCCCTGACTCAGCGGCCCTGGATGCCGACGAATGAAACCGAGTCGAAGCCTTCTCGCTGGGGGCCCGGAGGCTGAGCCTTGAAGCCCAGGATGATCGCTCTTAACGGGCTTGCGACTCGGATGAGCCGCACGGGCCGCGCCGGGCCCTCGCTCAAGAGGCTTCTGCTGACCTGACGCCCGGCCTGCGGAAGGCATCAAGGTCAAGACACGCGGCAGCTCTCAGTCTGAGCGAGGCTGCGAGAGCAGAGCTCCAGCTGGAGCACAGCAGCATCAAGCGAGCATCAGTGAGCGCAGAGGCATCAGAGCCTTGACTTGGACTCCAGCTGCCATCAAGTTGGCAACAATGGGAAA